AGCATGGGCAAGCCGAGACATGCTGCTAGATTTACTATATGAATAAATTATGAAAAATAACTAACTCAAATTTTTTAGCCATTTGTTGTTCCAGGATACTGCAGTTATCAAATGTTCAATGCAAGTTGATTGTTCTCTTTCAGAAAGAACATCCAACTTATGGACTGAAAAAATACCAAGAAATTTTGCCAGAGTTCTTTAGTTTGAACACCACATCTAACATTTGTGTTTTTGTTCTGTTTTACGCGACTAAATTTCTATCTTCTGCTTTTGTTCCAAATAACTGTAACAAAAATTCCAACAATTAAATAAACTACACCAAATTTCCTGTTTTTTGTGGGGTCCCTTGTATATATAAAAAAAAGATATGGACATAGGTAGTTAATAATATTTTGAAAATAAATAAAAAAGAAAAAAAATCAATCAATTTCTATGTCTCCAAAGCCACTCAAAATATTACGCCTCTGTTGGTCACTTAGTTAATTTGAGTTTTGGATGTCACCATAATAATTGGGTCAAAGTTGGGAATAGAAAATGTATTCACTTATTTGCAATTGGCCGAAATCCATTAAACTTTTGTGTTTAAAACTTTTATTAAACTAAATTATTTTTCAAAATATATTTCAAGAGAGTAAAATGTAAAGGAAAAGAAAAAACACAGATGTAAGTATTTAATAATAATAGAATTTTTAAAATAATAAAAAGATTATCAATTTCAATCTCGTCAAAGTTGATGGGACAAAGCTCAAATGAATACAAAAAATTTGACTACTAATTCTTGTCAAATTAATTTCATTTTTACAGTTAGATTGCCAGTATATATATATATATATATATATATATATAAATACACTGTTACATTAGAACATATAAGTTACTACTACAAAATTGTGCATTTTGTTTCAATGTTTAATAAACAACGTCCCATCAGGTAGGTAACAATGATAGTAATAAATGATTTTATTTAAAACTAGCAGTAGAGCCCGGCGTTGCAACATTAAGAGATAGATCAAGTATTGACCATCATAAAGACTGAAAAATAAAATTGACAAAGATTATTGTTTAAGGCTGACGGACACATGTCTTAATTAGTTTTTTTTTTTTTTTTTTTTTTTTGAATTGGTCAAACTCAAACAAAAACATTGTTTTCAATCATTAGAGTCTACCGATTGAATAGAATTTTATTATAAGCAATTGTCTTGTAAATGGAATTTTTAAAGCATTCTGAATGTAAAAAATAAAAAAAAAAAGTGTGCAAGACAATAAAAACACCACCTGCCAAAAAAAGTGAAGTTTTGTTGAATCGGTTGAAAAATGTAGGAAATCCGATCCCATATATAAATGAACACACACACCGCATAAAACAACCTGGGTTTTATAATAAGTATAACTCGATATGAGTTGTCCCCCTTTCATTCTTGCAAGCCTCTTAATCATGTTTTCAAATTGATTTCATGCAAAAATAATTGTGTTTTTTCCAATTTTTGGTGCTGTCAGAACCACCGCAAGGTAATTTTATGTAGTCCTGTGAAGTTTTGTTGAAATCTGTTGAAAAATGTAGTAAATCCGATCCAATATATTAATGTACAGACACACACACACACACACACACAATCTGCATTTTATAATAAGTAAGATTTCTATTTATGAAACATCGCTTCATTTTCCGTTTTTGAAAAATTTTCCATATAAGATGAAAAAGATTTTTATAAAGAAAAAAGGAAAGAAATTAAGAAATCAATAAAAAGTCAAGGGAGAGGAAAGAAAAGAAACACGAAAGAAAGTGAAGAGTATATTCAAAATTACACAGATGCAAAAAAAGAGGAAAGTTAAGAAAATAACATATGAGAAGATGTTGATACAAGTTAAGCCAATGAAATTATGCTGAAAAGGAGAATTCAAATTTGAACGGAAATGAAACATGAACAGATATTAACACAAGCTACAATGTGATTTTTGAATATACTCCTCTCTTTCTTTTGCCTTTCTTTTAATTTAAATTTAAAATTAAGCAATCAAGATACCTAAAATAAAATTTAAATAATTTTTTGTATAATCCTTCACCTTTCAGACTTAAGAATTTGGATGATATAAATTATAAATAATTAATTCTAATATTTCAGGCAACAATAAGTAAATAAACAAGTATTAACGCACAATTTTGAATCATCACCGCGAGAATGCAAATGGTCAGAATATTCTTTAAGCCATCTTCATTGTGCTTCTGATTCTTAAACCAATCCTCTTGAGAGTTGTATGAAAAGAATCTGCATACTTTTGACAATGTCTTTCTTGTTGCAGGCTTTTTTGTAAGGTTTCAGTGTTTCTGACAAGTTCTTTAAACCATCTTCATTGTGCTTCTGATTATAAAACCAATCCTCTTGCCAGTTGTATGAAAGGAATCTGCATACTTTTTCCAATGTCTCTCTTGTTGCCAGATATTTTGTAAGGTTTCAATATTTTTGACAAGTTCTTTAAGCCATCTTCAATGTCCTTCTGATTATGAAACCAATCCTCTTGCCAATTGTATGAAAGGAATCTGCATACTTTTTCCAATGTCTTGTTGCAGGATATTTTGTAAGGTTTCAGTATTTCTGACAAGTTCTTTAAACCATCTTCATTGAGCCTCTGATTATAAAACCAATCCTCTTGCCAGTTGTATGAAAAGAATCTGCATACTTATTCCATTGTCTTTATTGTTGCAGGCTTTTTTTTAAAGTTTCAGTATTTCTGACAACTTCTTTAAGGCATCTTCATTGTTCTTCTGATTATTAAACCAATCCTCTTGCCAGTTGTATGAAAGGAATCTGCATAATGTTTACAATGTCTTTCTTGTTGCAGGCTTTTTTGTAATGTATTTCTGACTAGTTCTTTAAGCCATTTTCATTGTTCATCCTCTTGCCAGTTCTATGAAAAGGAATCTGCACATTTTTTCCAATATTTTCCTTGTAGGCAAATGATGTGAGGGTAATGAAAATGGCTCTTTAATTCCATCTCATATTGCTCATGTTTGGAATTTTCTGAGATTAAATCCAAGGGAAATGTCTTTCTTCTTCAAAGAATCTAAACCTGTTAAGTGGTCCAAAAATTTTATATCTCTCTCTCCTGATTTATCAAAGATATCTTCTGTTTCATTAACAAATTGTGCTTTTAGTTCTTCAGAATTCTTAACCAGTTGAGACTCAAATAGATATTCAATAGGTAGAATCTATCATAGTCAACAGGGGTGACAGCTATCTGCTGCTTATCACAGTCTACAGATCCATAGTGGGATGTGAAATCTTCATTTGAAAAACTAGCTGTTGGTCACAGTTAACAGAAAGTGCTATGATATATAAGCAGTAGTTTTAAGTTTATATTTATTTATTTTTTTTAAATTTAGGAGTGACTCAATTTTTATGGATGCAAATTATGTAGAATTTGTCCAAATGTTTTTATATGTACTTTTAGCCATTATCAAGGATGATTTTATTTTTAATTGAATGTATGGATTTTTTTTTATGTATGTATCTAGCGTTATAGGAATGTTTTATTTTCCAAACACAGTCGATACATTGTGGCTGTGTTCATAGCCTATTGTAGTTAGTGTTGGCTTTTTCTTTTGTATAAATAATGCTTCCATTATTTTTATATTTATAATATATGAAATTATGTATAAGAGTGTGCTGAAAAGTTCTCAGTCTGACCCATTTTCTGAAATTTGACCAAATAACCAAACAGGATTTTAAAAAAATTCCTTCTTGGTTGGTCTGACTGCTTTTCAGCACACAATTAATATAAACATTATATTTGCATATGATATAACAAACATGTAGAAAATATTGCTATTATTCAAGTGACTGATGTTTTAATGTAATTTTTTTTGCTTTCTCTTTCATTTTCAGATACTTTTCAGTAGTAATATGAATTGTTACATTATGTGGTCGCATTTTTGCATGTTCTCATATTGTGAAAAGACTGCTCTTAAAACTTTTTATTATTTGTTCTTTTTGATGATGAAGGAAAAAAAATCATCAAACAACCACAAATAAATTGGAAAAACAAAAACACAAAAACAAAACAAACTTTAATATCACTTGGATGCTTGCAAAATTTCATCTAACAGAATAGTTTTTTGGCAGGCCAACCAGACAACCTTACCAACATCACATTCATAATGAAAGCAATTGCTAAAGGAATGCATTTCTGGAACCAACAGATACAACAGATCTGAGGGATTTCTAAACATATTTTCGGCAATTTTTTCCCCTTCCTTTTTGTCTTTTCTCTTTTGGTTGTTTGATGTTTCTCTTTATGATGTCGAAAATGGTGTTATCAAAAGTTCAAAACGAAATGAAGAAATGTCCATAAACAGAGTAATATTTCAACATTGACGTTTATTTTCCTTTTACACTGTTGAAAACTGTCAAAACTATCAGAATATAAAAGTAAAAGTAAAAATTATTTAAACTTTTTTGTGGACATTAATGAGCTAATATTTTTTTCTTTTTTCTTTTTAGAAATTATTTTAGTTTATCTCTGGGGCTCTTTGGAGAACTGCATCTGTTTTCTCCTTGATTTTTATAGGAGGCGACAAAAGATAGACTTGTCTTCTAGTTTGTTTTTACCTTCTTTATCATATATTGCACATGTGAGTTGAGTAATGGTTATTGGCGCTGAATGTGGAATTGGTGAGCCGAATTCATATTCTAATTCTATTTTGTTCGGTTTGCACTCTTTGAATTCAGAGTACCACAAATTATGCTTGTTTAACAAGTCGAATGCTTGTGAAACCTGATTAACCAAAGAAAATCAAGTAACACAAAAGTAAAAATACCAGAATTCCTCTCTTCTTTTTCTCCATGTCTCAGTCTTGGATGGAGGTTTAATAAAAGCAAAACCTGTTAGATTGATAAATGTTTCCTATTTGTTCTTTATCTTATCATACATACATACATATATATATATATATATATATATATATATATATATTTCTTTCTTTTTTTTTTTTTGCTTCACAG